GCACACTCCAGGTACTAGGTGTCCATGGGAACCCCAGGGGGTCTGAGGCTATTGCTTGCTCTGGGAAACACAACCAACAGATCCAAACTGGAAAAATCCTAGAGTCTCCCATAAAGCCAGCACTGGGTCAGGGTGCTAATCTGGCACCCAAGAAACAAAAATAAAACAAAACCCAGATGTCACCAGGAAAACTAGGGTAGCGAGTGTGCCACAGGTACCAGGGAGCCTGGCCAGAGTCTCAGAAGGCATAAGGATGCTGCCCCTAGCCAAGCTGGCTTCACTTAAAAACGGGGTCCAGGCCTCCTCCCAATTGCACCCTGGTCTACCTAAGGGTGGGAATCCTGGGGAACCTCCAGTAGTGACCCACTCTGTCTCTGTGCTTCACCAAGCTCAGCCAGGGCTCAGGAGGTAGTCAGGGCCAAAGGGACTCCATGCTTTATAAGGGGAAAACAGAGAGCTCAGCAGGACAAGAAACAGATGCAGGGAGGAGCCAAGGAGATAGGCAGGATCAGCAGACAGTGGGCTAAAGGGAACGGGACCCTAGTGGAGGTCACGGGTCCATGGGGTTCTGGCTGGAGGCTGGGAGGACTTACTTACTACACAGGGCATCACACAGTCTGGCCTGGGCCATGACCAAGCGCCCTCTCCAGCACCCCTCCCAACAGCTCTGCTGCACTCCAAGCCATTTTGCTACGCAGAAGAGCCTCTTGACTGGAAGGCCTCTGAGGCACCTCACTACTGCGCGTCCCTTAATTGGGAAATTGTTAACTTCTCCAAGAAGAATTTTAATTTAACCCCCCTCAATAGAAGGCTGACAAACTTAAGCATCAGCATCACCCACACCCCTTCCCCAAACCTCAAGCTGCCCAGGGAAGAGGAAAGACAGGCAGCATGCTGCCCAGGCCACCTGCATGGTGCCCAACCCCACAGACTTCAAGGCCTCCTGCCTCCCCTTCTGACATGGCAGGCCTCTTCCATCCCCTACTCACTGCCCTCCACCCACAGCCAAGGGGAATGAACAACCAGTGGACTGAAATAACAACAGCCCTGCCCCATCCTGCTTTGACCTACCATGTCTGCTGAGCCCCCAGAGTAGCCTACAGCCCCTCTGGGTCATGAACCACACTCCCATGTAGCTGAGCCCATACAGGCATATTTGCTGAGCATTTAGTATGTGCCAGTCAATGCTCTAAGCCCCTTATGTGCATCAACCTACTTAATCCACACAAGGCAGATGCCATTATTACTCCCAATTTGCTGATAACAAGACTGAGGCCCAGCCAGCTGAAGTAAATTGCTTTCATTCACACCATTTGGGAGTACCAGAGCTGGGAACAGATCCTACACTGTCAGCTCCAGAGCAGGCATAACGTTAGCTGCTACCTATGACTGCATGCCTATGACATGGCTGTGGGATCTCATCTCTGTCCCTGGGTAGAGCCCAGAGCCTAGTCTGTAGCTAGCTTCATAAATGTTTGCAGAGTGAATAAATGAAAGATGAACAAAAACACATTCCTAGTCACTCCCTCTTTTGAGCATAACCACATCTGTGACAAAAAACAAAAACAACAACAACAACAACAAAACTTCTGGCCTCCGCACACATGCATGCACACACATGTGCACATAAACATAAATACACACACATACAAATGGAGTTATTGGGGGGGGGAATTATGGTAGGGAGGGAGTACAGTCAAGTGGGGAGTGACCACTGAGCCAGGTAGAAGGCAGGGAGCAAGAGTACCCACATGATCAATTCCACAGAGGTTAAAAAAAAAAAACAGATAAGCAGGCGCTGGAGAGATGGCTCAGAGGTTAAGAGCACTGACTGCTCTTGCAGAGAATCCAGGTTCAGTTTCCAGGACCCACATGACAGCTAACAACCATCTGTAACTCCAGTACCAGGAGATCCAAAGCCCTCTTCTTCTGACTTCTGTGGTACACAAATGTGCAGGCAAAGGATTCATACACATAAAAAAAATTGAAAAATAGGTAAATTTTGAAAAGCAGATAAGCAGGATGATTCCTAACTCACAGGCAGGTAAACTGAGGCCCAATCGTAAAGACAACAGGCCACCAGCCCCATCTGCAGGCCACCACCAGCCATGGGGCAGAATCCAAGGAGTTCTTCCTGTCCAGCTGGCTGTGTGCAGTTTCCTTTCACCTGGAATGTGAGGGCTGCATTGTGAACAGTGTGCTCCTGAGCACAACTCCCATCCAAGCTGAAAGAGGCCTCTGAGAAGCCGCCCCACCCTCTCGAGGAGCTCACCCTCTTCCTGGCACTTGGAACACCAGAAGACATGATACACTCATCACCCTGACCATCTGGTCCACCTCAGGAGTATTCGCTGCTGTGCAGATCAGAGCTCTAGTCCTTGATGTTATGAGTGGCCAGGCACAGTGGCACACAAGGGAGGCAGGGGCAGGAGGATCTAGTGGTTAGGGTTAGCCTTAGCTACATATCAAGATCCTGTCAAAGGAGCTGGTAATACAGCTCAGTAACTGATCACTTGCCTAGTATATTCAAAGCATTCATCCCCAGTACCACAAATACATATATGTTTACCTTCTAACCCTTAAATAAGGTCAAAATATGACCTTATTTGGAAATGGGGCTGTTGTAAATATAATTAAATTAATTAGGATGAGGTCACACAAGAATAGGGTAGGCCCTTAATTCAATACAACTGGTTGACAACATTTTTTAAAAGGGAGGGGGGAACTCATGATATGGCTCAATGAGTCCAGGCACCTGCCACCAAGCCTGATGAACTGAGTTTGATCCCTGGGATCCATATGGTAGAAGAAGAGAACCAACTGCACAAGCTGTCCTCTGACCGCCACATGCATACACACAATAAATACAATCTAATAAAAATCACTGAGTCATATACATTTTTAAGAGAAAAAATATCTAGATCCAGTCTAAACTGGTTAAATATTTTTTTGTATGGAGAACTGGGCTGGCCCCCCAGGGACACAGGGACTCCTGTTGGCAGTGAGAGGCCTGAGGCAGTGGCACTGGGGACCTAACCTTGCCTGCTCTTTCTCTGGCCTGCTATCCTCTCCCCTGCCAAACACACAGCAGTACAAGAAGTGAGAAGGAAGCAGGGGACAGCAAGGAAAAACCCGGGCTTCTCCAGGAGTTCAGAGTTTCGGAAAGCCAAGTGCCCACTCCTCAGCATGGCCGCAAGGACTCCCAATGGCTGGCACCAGTCCATTCAGGACTACCAGGCACCAAACACTATCCAGCTGCCCTACCTCTGTAACACTGCTTAGCTGCCCCTCCCCTGCCTTAGCCCTTTTCTGCCACCATCATTCTCTGTGGACCACTTTGTTCATCCAGGCTTTAGTGACAAAACACTGGAAACCATCAAAATACACAACAGAGAACTAGTTAAAAGGGCTCTAGCACACATAAGCTGGAACATTATGCTGCCATTAAAAATCACATTATAGAAGAGTATTTAATGAAGGGAAAATGATCTTGGTATAGTATTAAGTGCAAAAGGCAGGTTAGGAAACAGTATGTACAGCTTGATCCCAATTATATCATAAATACATATTTTGTAAAAGACTGACGGGCAAACTACCCAAGTGCTTGCATTTTTCTACAGAGAACACACATTACTTTTTATAACCAGGAAAATAGATGGTTTTTAAAGGACCCTACAGGCTTCCAGACTCCGCCTGGAGTCATCTCCTCCAACCAGTTCTGCCAGCCCCCAGCTGAGTCAAGCACACATCCCGCTGCTGCCCCATCCCCGCCCTGTGCTTCCTGGAGTGACCCCATATTGAGCACCATTAACATGTCCACAGACCAAAGGGAAGGCTGCAGCAGCCTCCTGGCCAGGGTGAGGCCAAGCCCAGACCACTCTGCCCCATCACCCAGTCAGTCACCTGTTGCCAACGCTGATCTCAGCCTCTTGGCCATTGCCTAGTAGCTAGCACAGATAACTGTTCCACCCAGGACCAACCAATAAGCAGAAATGCTTTGATGGGGACAAGTAAGTCTCAGAGGCCTAGTATCAGGGAAAGAGAACCAAGGTCTACTGTCCACCAGGCCCAATAGCTTCCTCCTCCAGCCCCACTGAGCCTCAGAAATGAGAATAGCACAGTCCAACCTGCCCTCCCACCCCCTGGCAGCCTACCTCACCGCTCATGCTTAGCAAAGTAGCTCTGTAGGCTGCTCATTGGTTCATGTACAGGAGTATAGTGACTTCTCTGTCACAAACAAGCCAGGGTCAAGCCACATAGCAGCCTAGGACCCCTTGGTGATTTACTTGTCACAAACAGGTGAGGATCAAGCAAAGAGCAGTCCCAGACCCCCTCCCTGTCCCTCCTCCCACCCTCCACCCATCTCATCAGGATATGCCCTAGAGCCCACACATTTCCCCCCCCCATGGGACAGAGAGGAGGAAGGAGAGCCTGTCACCTCCCACATTGTGGGTGTCCTGTTCCTCATAATAGACCAAGAAGCCATCTGTTCTGTTCACACAAAGCCAAGGTCAGCTGGCTGCCAATGCTTGTCACGTAGACACATACCTAGGGTCTGAACCTCATCCTGCCCTGAAGGTGTCTGGACCTGCATGCCAACTGTGGAGCCCCATTAACTCCACACATCAGAGCCAAGGCTGGTCTCTTGACAGTTTCTTGGACCCTGCCTATCTCAGTTCACTCGTTCCCACTCCCTCCTGACCTGGAATCAAACACACACTTGGTCAACAATGTGACAGGACCAAGGACAGAGCCCTTCAGCTTGCCTTGAGAGCCTTCCCATGTCACGTGGGAACTTATTATCCAGCCCTGTCTGTGAAACCATGTGGCTGGGACAAGCTCCCTAGGCTTCTGAGCTGGCTATAGACCAGGACTGGCCATAGCAAGGCCTAGTAAGACTTGAGAGCAGAAGAAGGGGCTAGATGGAGGCCTAGGGGTAGAAAGAGGCCCCTGACAGAGCCTCCCCTGGAAGCCCCAGTAATCCCTGAATGGCCTCTTACCTGTGACTGGGTGGTATTGGGAGCAGCTGGGCTGGGACTAGCCTGGGCCTGGCTCAGTTGACTTCTTTGCCCATGGGCACCAACACCTCAGGGCCTGTGGGTGCAGGAAGCTGTGGGGAGGAAGACAAGGTAGCTATCAGGCAGGATGGGCTACACATGCAAACAGGTCTGAGCCCACCCAGCCGGACAATCAACCCTGTGAATCACAGACACATGCACGCACGCACGCATGCACGCACGCACACACATGTTCTCAGTGGCACATTCGTATTAGCATGCTCTGGGAACTCAGAGTTTCTGGCCCCAAACCAGTGAGTCTAGCTGCTTCTCCCACCTTCTGACCCTGTGATCTTGGGACAGTCAAGTCCCTGAGCCTCATTTCCCTCATCCATGAAACAAGGGTCCCTCCTCCTGCCAGGACTGCAAGAGAAAACAGGGAATACAGGGCCTGGAACACAATAGGTGCCAGCAGTACCAATGCTGGTCTCCTTCCCAACCAGACATTAGGTCAGGCTGCAGCCTGGCCCCTCAGAGAATGCAGTGGGCAGAGCTCAGCATGCCTTTCCCAGGGCCTGAGTCACACCTTTGCTGTCTTCAAAGATCCCTGCAGCTCCACCCCCTTCCCCACCTTACTCCTTCAAGCACCCTCCAACATCTCCCCAGAGAGGAGTGGGAAAGATCCGAGGGTGTCCCTGGGACACTGACTCCCTGGCAAGGCCCAAGGCCTCTGTGGTACTGGACTCAATCTTCCACTGAAAAGCCACAGAGGTGGGAAGGGGCTCAGCATTCCCACTCCTTGACCCTGTAGCCCTGGGCAGAACTTCCATTCTCTGCCTCTCAAAGTCCTGAATCCCTTTCTGAGCCATCACTGAGGGGTCCCAATCAGATCTGTGTTTCTCAGAGTTAGACACACATGTCTAGAGTAGGCAGTATGCAAACATTTTTATTTTCATTGGTTTGTGTTTATTTTTCTGTGTATTAGAAAAAAAAAAAAAACAAAACATGACAGGCACATCACAGGTGTGATTTCACGTGTGTATGGCTCCGGGAGCACCATGGTAATCCACCTTCAAATGTGAGTCCATGCAAAGACAAGGATGAGGGGAGAAACAGTGCAGCTGAGGAAACACTCAGAAAGTCAGCATCTAACCCAGAGCCTGGCTCTGCCCCAGCACCCTTCACTGGGGGCCAGGTCCTGACTTCTCTGGTTTTTCCATGTGGTACCATTCAGCACAGGGCCTGGTCCCCAGAAGGTCTTGCAAACCTTCGAGCTGGGATGGACAGAAAGAGAGGTGGTTAGTGCTCCAAGGCAGTTGATGTAATGTGGGTGGAAGATAGCAAAGGCAATCCTTCCCAGAGTCAGTGTTCCATCAGTCTAAGGTGTAATTGGTATTTCCAACCATGTGGCAGGTGCAAAGGAGAGGATCTGAAAGGCAGGGTTTTCCTGCCTTCTGGGCTACAAACAGATTCTCTCCAAGAAAGAGCCAGAGAAGGTACCAAGAGGAACCCTGATGGCAGAACCACAAGGCAATGGGACCAGACAGGAGAGGGACTGCTGGCCCCATAGTCCACCAGTACAAACTGTGTCCCAGTTCAGATGGCCCTGGGGGTGCCTCCATGGCTGCTGATCCTAGAGTTCAAGACAGAACACTGTGGTGCCAGCTTGGCAGAGTTGAGTAGCCAGAGCCTGGGTCCCCAAGCCAGGTCCTGACAGCAGGAGTACCCTCAATGACTGCCCAAGCTGGCTCCCAATAGACTGGCATGAGCCAGCCGGGCTCAAGCCAACATGGACAGCTGTGTCCCTGGCAGGCCTCCAGACCACCTGGCTGACAGCCCTGAGCCCAGCTCCACCTGAGCTGGCAGTGCGAGCCATCCTCACAAGTGCCTCTCAAGCCCCCAGTGGCCATGCTCCCAGACAATGAATGGGTCTCCAGCTCCCTTCCCCCAACTCTTTCTGAAGCTCCCAGCTCTCCTCGGTGGCATCAGAAGGAGTTGCTATGGAAATGGGACCACAGACAGAGTATGACAATGATTTGGGGCAGGGAGGAGCCACAGTGGGAGCCAGGAACTCTCCTGGACATGAGGTCTACCCATGTGCTGAGTCCCAGAAAGGATGTGAGAGCCCAGCTGTGGGCCTCCTAGACAAGGACGGTAGAGGGACTACAACAGAGTTGAGGTTTTCAACCTGCCCTCCCGGCTCCTAACCCCTCAGCAAGGTGCACAAACCCCTGGGGATCTGGTGCCTCTGTATTCAGCAGCAACTAGAGGGCACTGCCAAAGTGGGTTCTGTACTGAGGGGAAGAGGGTTGTTGTGGAGAGGGTGCCTGGAGAACACTGCAAAGTTTGTCACAGAGGTTATATGCTTGCTCTAGGAGACAGGGCACAGGATGAGAGTTTGAGAGGGACTTAGGCCCAGGACACAGAAATGAGACAGACCCATAGGGGCTGGCATCCCCTAGAAAGTCAGCCCACAAGCCAATCCTGAACCCTGATCTCCTCTTCCCCAGACCCAAACTCTCTGACAGCATGCTGCCTTTCTTTCCTTTATCCCTTCACCCCTTTACTTGTCTACACACTTTCTGCTAGGCACCCATTATAAGCATGGTGCCTGAGAGATGCAAAATACAAAGAGGATATATGGACAGAGGAGATGACCCATGAGGATCAGATTGAGGACATCTGGGCAGAAGTCCAGCATCCAGGAGTCAGGGAGATTGGCCTCGGGCATTTTAGGTCATGCACTTCTGAGCTATGCTCCAAAGACCTTCCCATTTCCCTGACTTACCTCCCAACCACTCAACCTAAAGGTCCTCTACAGCCCAGTGAAGCCCTCATTCCCAGAAGGTCATAGGGGTTATTACCACTAGCATCTTGCTATAATTTAGAGGTTGCATAATCCCCAGAAGCCCGTATGCTAAAGGCTTATTCCCCAAGGAGCCACTACTGAGAGAAGGCTGAACTTTTGTGAGATGGGATCTAGGGTCATAGGGGTTGTGCTCATAGGAGATTGTGGGACCCCAGTCTCTTCTTTGGTAAGGGGCTTTGCTCCACCACAATCTTCTACCATGATGTGCTACCTCATCATAGGCCTAATGGGGCCAACCAGTCATGAACTAGAACCTCCAAAAGTGAGTTAAAATGCACATATTATCCTAAACAAACCTATTCTATAAACTGATCATTTCTATAGTGATGGGAGGCTAACACATGCCTGCAGAAGTGGGGGTCATGAGGAGGCTACCTTGTTACACACAAGGAGCTCAGAGGTTGTACAAGACTCCAATCACTCCTGCCAGACTCATCACATCCCCACAGTGTCCATTCATTGCTTGCTCATCTTTTTACCCCTGAGTACCTTGCACTTGCCAGGTGTTATGTTGGGCCTGGGATGGGCACAGAACAAGAAGGCCAATTGCCCTTCCACTGGTGAAACTCAAGTCCCCACCTCTTTGTCAGCAACATGCCAATTTTCCCCCAGCCCTCTGGAGGTGGGGTGGACAGCGTACTCAGGGAAAAAAGGGGACATCTCGCAGATCCTGTCTTAAAGACCTGCCAGCTCCATAGTATTCTGCATGTGCTCTGCCTCCCAGCAGCAGACACAGACTCCCTAGATCAGTGCTACACAGATAGAAAACAAGACCTGAGCAGTGGCCAGCAGAACTATAGAGATCTGTGCACTGAAAAGGCATGAGCAGGAGAGACCAGCAAGGATAGAAGGGTGGGGCCAGGTCCAAGGGTATGGAAAGGAGGAAGCAGTCTTGTGATGCTTCCGTGGAGGAGGAACTGGGTGGATTAGAGCCTGCACTCAACTCCAGCAAGAAGCAGAGCTGGTCTGTCAGTCCACATTACTGAGGGCTAGACTAGCAGGCAGAAGGTAAGGAAAATGCAGTTCCTGACAGCTGCCATTCTGTTCCCAACCCACTAATGCTTGCCACCGCTGCCTGATAGAAAAGCAGCTCGAGACCAGGACATGAGAGGGGCAGAAGAGGGATGGGTGGATCATCTAAGAGTTGGAGACCGCAGGGGCTGGAGAGATGGCTCAGCGGTTAAGAACACTGGTTGTTCTTGCAGAAGACCCGGGTTTGAATCCCAGCACCCACATGGCAGCTGACAACTGTCCCTAACTCCAGTCCCAGGAGATCCAACAGCCTCTTCTGACCTCCTTGGGCATTGCACAACAGGGGTGCACTTACCTATGTGCAGGCAATACACAGATACACATAAAATAGAAAAAAATAAATAAATAGATAAATTTTTTAAAAAAGAGTTGGAGACCGTAAGGCAGAGCAGCAGTGATCACAGACCCGGATGGACAGAGGGAAAGAGAGAGCTGAAGGATGGCCAGATGGGGCCCCTGGTCTCCCCCAGAGCCAGTTCTGCAGCTGCAGACACACAGCTGGGAAGGAGCCTGAAACCACAGCTTTGAGAAGATTTTTCAGCAATAAAACTCATATTTGAAATGAGATCTTGTGCAGTAGGGGAAGCCTTCTTATGCCAAACATTAAATCCAGAAACTGTGAAGTGGAAATTTGAAAAACCCAACTATATAAACATGCAAAACATCTGTACAGCAAAAGATACCATAAACAATGTTAAAATGCAAGTAAGATGCTATAAGAAAATATCACTAATATGCAAAGAGCCCCTACAAATCAATAAGAAAAAAAGGACAAAAGAGAAAAATTGGCAGTGAATTAGAAATCTGCAGAGGAAGAACTAAATTGGCCAATAAACGTATGAAAAGATGTTCTATCTCACTAGCAATCAGGCAAATGCAAATGAAAATGACACAATACCATTTTTTGCCCATCAGATTGGGAAAAATTAAAATGATTTATAACAAGCAGTGCTGGCAAGGATGAAGGGAAATGAACACTCATAGACTATTTGAGGGAGGGGGAGTTGGCTCAACCGTTGGAAGGGTAATTTGGCAGTATTGACTAACGTTTTAAACCCACACACCCTACAACCTAGTAATCACTTCTAGAAGCCTCATCAACAGAAAAAAGAAAAAACTCGGGGCAAGTATGCACATATAAATACTCAAGAATGCTCATAGCAGCATTGCAAGTAAGAGTGAAAAAGAAATTGGAAATGGCCTAAGTGTTTA